ATTTAATTAAAATAGTTGAAATAATATAAAAGATTATTATTTCATATAACATACATCAAGATAAAACAAATTTATAAAACAATACTAAGCAGATAGAGATCATTCATACATATCATTTCACAATCAAGCATTTAATCTTTTGAATTCTTGTCACTTTGTTCATTTCAATTTTTAATTATTCACCAAATAAGAGTACTCTATATACTCATAGACTCCTAAATCGCTATCAACATACTTTTTCTAGTTATGATGGACTTACGCTAGCATGGATAGTCGCCGTTAACTACCATACATGGATATAACGTGTGCTTTATTAGGCATTCATAACAAAGATATAATCCTGAGTTTAGGTCAAAAATAAATGTGAAGCCTATAAATGCTTTCGCTACCAATTATGTATACATAAGCTATTAGCATTCATTATCCTCATTTTCCAAATCACATCCTGACTCTATACCTCCAGTGTATCTATAAATTATTCATACAAAAACTTAACAGTGGCACACACAAAGGTCATACTATTTACACTAATTAATATTGTCCTAATACCTATATTATAATCACACTAATCAATATATCATAACATGTGTATTGTAATTGCATCCATCGTCGATGTATTACAACACATATACTTTAACACACTAATTTTTTTCTTTACTTTTCACTTATAACATATTTTCCTTCATCTCTTTCTCATCATTCTATTAAATAAGACCTGTCTAAATATACACACATTCAAACTTACTCCAATTCATACATATGTAATAAAATATCTTATATCATTCAAACATAGTCAAACCATTTGCATCAATCTTATACAACAATCAACCTTCTTAATTCAACTTACAATTATAAAACATAAAACATATCAACACAAACCCAATACAATGCACTGAGGTCGAACACTTGCAGACTTAGATCAATTGTGCATTTTATAAATAGTTTGCCAGAGATTGTACTCTCTTAGTCTTAATAAAAATCATTTATCTTGAGGTTTAATCTTTTTCCTAACACACTTATTATTCTCAATAATAATTCACACTCAAACTGTTTATGCATAATAATCACTAATAAAGTTATAGAACTTCTTAAAAATTGGTTTTCTTCATAATTCTTATTATGAAACTTTACTCAGGTAGTAATGAAAATACATGTAAGTTTTACATCTTCATAAATCCATTTTTCCACTATAAACTTCAAGAAAATATTATAGATCCGTCATCTAAGTAAGAGAATTTAAATTTCTAAGTCAAAAACCTATAAATAGTAATTAGGGTTTGGGATCAACTCTCCTTACCTGGAAATAAATCTCTGAAACTAAGTTCTTTATGAGCTCTAAAGAAAAGCTCCAAGTTTTATCAGAGGCACTACCTAAAGACTATCGTTCTTCCTAACATCACATAGTAGAGTACTATTATAAAAGAGAGAATAGGGAAATGAGAGCGAGATTTGAGAACTAAACTCTGGAAACTTACTTAGATTTGAGTGAAATCAACGTTCAAGCTCAAATATGAGAGAGATTCAGGGTTAAAGGAGGCTTTCTCTAAGAAAGGAGAGGGAGAAAACGAAGAGAATAAAGAGGGAGAGATGATTTTAGTGAAAAATAAAATTTCTTAACATGAACTCTCTTAAATACCCTCCAAACCTGCGCTTTCTCGCTTAAGTGAGTAGACTCTCGCTTGAGCGAACTCCTCCTTACTTGAGCAAGAAAAATAGATAATATTTTTCTAACCTTTTTCAAATATTCTTACTTAGGTGAGCGGTATTCTCGCTTAAGCGAGAATAGGTCCAGAGAGCTGTGAGACATATTTTTCACTTGAGCAAGAAAGTCTATACCAAAATTCTTATTTTTTCAAAAATAAAGAAAATAAAAATAAGGGTGTTATAAAACAAATTGATTTTTCAAGATGATCGTGATCGTGGAAAGAATAAACAAAATTTATAGCATTTGGCATTTGGATTGTCCCTTAATATATGTACAGGCCAGGGTGTGGTGGATTCTACCACTAATAAGGTATGAAAAGAGAATATTGTACCCTATAGTGATTTTTATTGTAATAACATTACAGTTCCAAATTTATTATCTCTTACAAATTTATAGTGGCAAATTCCTTACCCCTCACTAAATACATAATTTAACCTACTTTTTATAGTGTACTCAGTTAATTTAAAAGGTGTCTTAGAAGTGTTCATCCTTGTTCTTTGAAAATATTAGTAAGGATGATCTTTCTTCTCACCACTAAAACATAATTAATTCAATAATTTCATAACACACATGCTTAAGGTAACACATCAATCAACTTATAATAACAATCACATCAATAATATTTTCATATGTATACAATACAACATTTTTCGTATATTGTGATTACATTCGTTAATACTCCTAGTATTCTTGGGCCATTATCTCAATCATTTACTACCCCTGGGACCCCTTGAGGTCTTCTACATGTATAGATAGTCGCTAATTAGCCGTAATAACTTAGATACAACGTGTGTCAACACAGCCTCTTTAAGCAAAAATATGGTCAGAAGTTTAGGTCAGGAAATAAGTGTGAAGAATGTGATGTTTTTGTATTCATTAATTATTATGCGCAACCAACAAAAATATTCACCATCCTGAATTTCTCCAAGAATTCCAAAATCGCCTATCTTTCACACTCCGATGTATTTCTATAACTATCCATTTATGTTCTTATTATTTTTCATAATAACACAATTTTCATCCTTTTCCTTGCTTAGCATAAAATCATTCAATCATGCCGAAGGTCAAACACTTTGGATTCAATTCAAATCGTATATTTTCAATATAGCATATATTTCATGTCAAGCAAGAACAATGAAAACATACTTCATCCACTTCAACTTAAATATTTTACCAACAATCTCATTTAAAAATATATTTCAAAACAAAAGAGCATATAATCACACACATGAACCCAAAAATATTTTCAATAATTCATGTAGAAGTGTACTACACACCTTCATGAGCACAATATATATATATATAACGTTTTAATGATGGAATAAAGCTCTCATTACCTTGATGAGAAGATTTTGTAAAGAGTTTTGTGAAAGATATCGTTCAACGACCAAGTTCTTTCTATATATTTAAAGTAGAGCAAATTTAAGAAGAGAGAAAATAGAGAAATAGAATTAAAGAAAATTGAGCTCTAAGGAACTTATTAGAAGTCAAACGAGAAAGATGTTTGAGCTCGAATTCAAAGTTCAAGAGAGATTTCTTTAAGAAAGGAAAGAGAGAGTTCAGAGAGAAAAGTGAGAAGTGTTTGCTTGAATTATAATGCAAGTTTTAGAACATAAATTTTCTTAAATACCATTTTTGGTATGTAAATTCTCGTTTAAGTGAGTGAACTCTCGATTGAGCAAGACACACTCTCACTTAGGCAAGAACACTAGACCTAAATTTTTATACAAGTTTATGATAATCTTGTTAGTGAGATCCCTTCTCGCCTTAGCAAAATATGATCTAGAGAGCTCCTCACTTTCTTGGGCCTTCTCGCTTAAGTGTGAAGATAATTGAGGCGATATTATCCATTTTTGCTTATGTGAGACTCATCTCGCCTGAGTGAAAATGTCTTAAAATATCTGATTCAAAAAATTCAGTCTCGTTTGAGTAAAACATATCTTGTTTGTGTGAGATCTCCCTGCAACTTTTAAGGTTTAAATTTTTTTATTTTAAAAGCAAAATGTAAGAAATTGCAATAATAATAATAATAATAATAATAATAATAATAATAATAATAATAATAAGGGTGTTACAATGTATAACATTTTAAAAAGTCTTATGATAAACACAATGCTTTTACTTCGACAAAAGTATTTTTTAAGCTCATCCTTCCGTTTCTTTACCAAAATTGTGTTTGACGTATAAAATGTGTAAAAATATACATTTGTCTTGTCAAAGAGGTATGATTTTATAATCTATATATAATTTTTTTCTTTAATTAACAAATACTTTAGTACAAATTGTCTATGAGAACTCTTTGCTATTATTTTATATAGATTGTTGGTTCTTTTGCATTGTCTTTCAAATTAGGAGATATTTTATCTGAAACACTTGATAAATTAAACTAATCAAATAATAATACAAAATTTATCCAAAGTTTAATAATTTTCACATGTTAAAAATTTATAAACATTTGTATAAGATTTTAATTGTCATGGTTATGACAAATAATAATAATGGACTCAAGGAATAAGTTTTGTGAACTTTGTTTTAAAAGTTTTTACTAACATTAAATTTTATTAATCTAATTATTAATATAATATTAATACATGTTAGATTTTAGAAAAAAAAAGATTTTAAGTATGTAATTATACAACTTACATTTATTAAATTAAGTTGCTTGGTGGAATTTAATCTACTTATTAAATTTTTTTAAACTAATGATTAAATTAATAAAATTAATTATTTATAAAAAATTATCAAATAAATTAAGTTAAAAAGTGAAAAAACTACACTCTTAAAGTAAGTAATCACTTTCTTATTATTAAAATATAAGATTGAACAATAAATAATATAGTTTTATTAATTTCAACTTTTATTACTTAGTTTAAGCATATAAAAATAATTTTTATTAAAAAAATATTTCTTACATGATAAATATAAAAATGTATTAAATATTTTTGTAATAAAAGTTTATTATTGGTAGATACTGAAATTTAATCTTTAAGTTAACATTTTACAAATATAAAATATTTACAACTAAACATAAAATTGTTTTATTTTATTTATATATTTTAATAATACAATTTTTTAATAAAAAATTACTTTTACAAGCTTAAAATCGTTTATAATTTTATATTAGAATTTTTTAGTCCATTTTTCTTATATTAGATTAAGTATCTTTTTTGTTTAATAGTTTTATATTAATTTTTTTGTTACAAAAATTTAAGCAAATTAAGTTTTGAGAACTTGTCACTCGAAGTCTTCGTAGGTAGAAATTTTTTCATATTAGATTGTAAATATAAAAATTTGCAATCTGTTTTTCTTTTGAAATTGTAAGTTAATAAACCCCGTTTCCCCCATAACCCTTTGTTCTGCGTTGAACTCTGTCTCTGAGACTCTCCCTACCTTCGTCGCTTTCACTTGGAGCATATACCTGTTCGGCTAGAGCAACAAGATCCGAAGGTTCTCATCCCCTCTCCTTTTCTTGCTTTTACTATTGAATCCAATGATAGGCTTTGATGCTGAAATCGTTGTCTTTTGGTAGTTTTTTTTATGGTATAATTACATCTTTCTCTTGCCTCAGTCTTCTGGTCATATACTGGGATTGGAAAATATGTCAAAGTATTGCTGTGTGTTACTCGTATTAGTATTTTATATTAATTTGTCTCTTTTATAGATTTTCCATTTCTTAAAATATTGAGATCTAATTTTTAAGTTTTACTTGTTGCTGCCATATGCAGAAGCTTGTGTAATTATCCACTTATATTGTACATTAGATGGCTAGGTTTGTATTTTCTCCTCCATTTTCACTCTTATAGGTTTTGTGCTTTTATTTTCTAAATATTATATTTTTTTTTACAGTTGTGGTCTCATTTCTCACCTTTGAAGTCTCTTTGGTTGTTTGTTTCTGTAAGTATGGTTATTAGTCCCATTGTTGTTCATTTTAACCGGATTGCTGAGCTCAATTCTATCCTATCCAAACCCAAATTGAAAACTGGATTTTAAAGCCGGATTACTGCACTGGCAATTCATCTTGTTAACCAGTTTGTATTTCTTGTTTTGTTTTCAAATGGATGGATGACCCAAGAATCCGGTTTAAATCCAAATGACTATCATTTGAATCCTCCTTTCTCTAATCTGCATGACTGTTGACTAACATCCGAATTGTGAAACCTAATTACCAAATCTCTGCCTCTGTATTACTGCTGCTCTCAGCATTCGTGAACCCTAATCCTCAATCTGTCATCTCTCTGTTTTGCTTATTTGTTCGTTGTTCTTTCTCTGATTCTCTCTTTTTCTCTGCATTTGGAGATGGAGATGTATAGTAATGTGAATGGCTCTAATTCTTTTTCCTTACTCAGATCTGTTGTCATTTTCTTTGCGGAGAGGTCAAGCATAGCATATTAAATTTAAGTATACTCCAGTCGTGAGTTTGGGTTCATTTTCAAAGATAATCTTCATTGCACGAGGTAACATAACTATTATAATCTTCTCTATTTTATTTGGTTAATACTACTCTGTTCATATGGTCTGAATCTGCTTTATATTTTCTCCGTTCAATTTGCTGCTTTCCATCTCCCACAGAAACTCAGTTTTATTTAGCCTGCAGAAAGAAATTTTCACTTGGATTTTGAGTACTCTGGAACTTGTGTTTGAATCCTATTGAAAAGGGGAGGTAATAAAAAATTGTAATATAAAGGATTTGGTGCTAGTATCATACAGCTTGGATAATTTCTACATAATTTCATGGGTTCAATAGTGGTGCTACTTGGAGATGTTATTGCAGCTGTCAGATACAACAATATTTCATGATCAAGCAAACAATAGTATCAAACATGAACATATCTTCTAGCTTCCCCAAAGCCTCCAAATTAATAAATGATCTAAATAAACATAGAACTTGTTCAGACTTCAGAGTACATTGTGTGCTTCCATTAGAAAACAAAGCCCAGTACTACAATAAAAGATAACTGCTACGCCAATAATAGAAGAATTTGTATAAAATTGGCTTTTCCAGAAAAGGATTTATGACTCTAAATTTTGCCTAAATTAAATATTAGGATTCACTTAATAACAATTTTGATAATTCACCTAATAGAGCTTAAACTTCCTATTAGGTAAGTATTGAAGCTTTCTCGAGCACATGGAGTAAATTTTGAAGATTCTTGAAGAAGCCATTCTGCATAAATAGTCCTGTGCCTAAATTTACCAGTAAACCAAATGAAAGAATATGTATTACTTGTTTGATTTTTCTGTTTAATGCTAGCAATTCAGCAGAAACATTTGAAGACAAAGCTCTAGCCTCAATTAGATATAAACTGCTTCCTGGAGACTCTAGAGGTGTCCTAATATTAACCCATGGAATTAAAGATTATCTTTCAGCCACTTAAAAACACCATTTGCTATGGGCCTGCAAGTTCAGCATTGGTGAGGGCTAAAACATTAACCAATCCCTTGACTTGTTACTTGTTGTAATTATTTCCAAATCTTGTAATTTGGTATTCATTGTTTAGTTTCTGCTTGCTCAGTATATGATAACTAATATGTAGATCTGTTCTTTGTTTTTACTCTTGCATATGTAATTCTTCTTACTGGTTTGCTTGTGCTAATTGCTGTACAGCCTGTACTACTATACTTTGTGTCCCAGTGCTTAATCTGCAGGCTTTATTGTTTTAAATCTGCAATTTTTGACATGCATATCTAATTCATTTAGCTTGATTTTGTACTTATTCTAATTATCTTCAAGTCTTGTAATTTGCTATTCATTGTTTAGTTTTTGTTTGCTCAGTGTATAATAACTAACATGTAATCTGTTATCTGTATTTTACTCTTGCATATATTATTCTTCTGACTTGATTTGCTTGTGATAATTGCTGTACTGCTGTGCTTTCTGTGTCTCTGCTTAATCTGCAAGCTATGTTGTTCTAAATCTGCATGCTTGCTTTAGTCCATCAGCCATTGAGAAAAGATGAGTCGAGGAAGTGGAGGTGGATACGATCGTCACATCACTATTTTCTCCCCAGAGGGGCGTCTCTTTCAAGTGGGTATGTAACTCAGATTTCCACTTTTAGTGTAACCCTCTCACAATGGTGACATTTTATTTAATCAGTCAAATACGGTCTAGATCTTTTACATTCTGGACCGACCCAGCTTGATTAACATTTTAGTATGACAAAAAAACTAAGTATTGTTAGTTTTTGTTCTTACAAAAAAAATATAAATATTCAAGATATTGTTGCTATGGAAATTTGATAACCCAACTGGGCTAGTGGTATTGTTCGTAATCTAATTTGGTCGAGTTTTTTTTTTTTTTTCCTTGTTGGATTGGGCATTAGGAAGGTGGAAATCAGAAAAGTTCAGGACACGTTAACATGAATCTAAATTATGTCACTTAAGTAGTGTAGCATTTAGCATGCAAACTAAATGGAATGGGAAAGTGATAGAACTAGGTACAAAAAGAATGCAATATTATTGAATTTCTGGAACAACAGAATACATGCACTAATGTTCTGAGCATTATTCGAGTAGTTCTCAGTCTACTCCCAAGGTTACTTTTTACAAAAAAACAAGATCCCCTGATTATCTTTATTTCTTCTATTTATAATGTCCTAAGTTGTAACGGTTTTTAGTTGAAAACTATCCAACTGTCTCTTGGGCTCTTGGGTTCTGCTCCCCTACAACTGATCCCTTCCTTCTCCTATACACCTTCAAGGGATGATCTCTAACAATACTCCCCCCTAGGACTTGCACCTTGTCCTCAAGGTGGGTAACAGAAAAATTCTCCTTAATGCTTTGCCAACTTTCCCAGCTATTTTCAAATTCAGGAAGCCCCTGCCATGTGATTAAAACTTGCCACAAGTCTGACTTCAGGCAACGAACATCTAGAACATCTTCAGGTTGAGTTATCAATTCATAATCCGCTTGAAGCATAGTAGGAAGAGGATGGGCTTGTGCTGGAGGTGTGACCGCTTTTTTAAGGAGAGAAATGTGAAACATAGGATGAACCTTACTCCCATCTGGTAATTCCAATCTATACGCCACAGCACCAATTCGATCCAAAACCTTAAAAGGGCCATAATAACGAGGGCTCAATTTCTGATTCACCTTGGTAGCCAAAGATTTCATCTTATATGGTTGAATTTTCAGATAAACAAAATCACCAATCTGAAATTCAAGGAACCGTCTGTGCTTATTGGCTTGAGAACGCGTATAATCTTGGGCTTTCAACAAATTAGCTCGTAACTCACTCAATAATTCATCTCTGTCTTGAGTCATTTGATTAACCTCTTCCACTCTCGAAGGAATAGTGGTACCCTTCCACAAGATAGGAGGATCTTGGCCATATAAAGCTTTAAAAGGTGTCATTCTAGTGGAAGCATTGTAATTTGTGTTAAACCAGTATTCTGCCCAACTGAGAAAATCTGGCCATTGTTTTGGTTTATGGCCTGTCATACATCTCAGGTAAGTTTCAATACACCTATTCATCACTTCCGTTTGACCATCCGATTGCGGATGGTACGCTGTGCTAAATCGGAGCTGAGTTCCAACACTCTTAAACAACTCTTTCCAAAACTGACTCATGAACAATTGGTCCCTATCTGACGCAACAGAGCTAGGAAAGTCATGCAGCTTCACCACTCCTGTCATAAAGACAACAACGACATACTGAGCTGTATAAGGGTGACCAAGGGGAAAAAAATGAGAAAATTTAGTAAGCCTATCAACCACCACAAAGATAGTGTCTTTCCCTTTTGATTTTGGTAACCCGCTGATAAAATCCATTGAAATATCAGAACAAACCTGTGTAGGGACAGGTAACGGTTGAAGTAAACCTGCTGGAGATAAGGCCTCATACTTATTCCTTTGACAAACATCACAAGCTGTCACAAAATCCTTTATATCCTTGCGCATCCCTTCCCAATAAACCACTGTCGCCAACCTTTTGTAGGTACGAAAATAGCCCGAATGACCACTTACTGCCGACGCATGAAAGTCAGCTAGAAGTTGTGGAATCTCTGTTGACCCTTTTGGTAACCACCAATCTGCCCTGAAAATAAAGTCTTCCTCCTCTTAGTTCATACCCCTTGTGCGAATTAGGATCAACTATCAAATCATGCCGAAGCTGTTGTAGTTTTGCATCTTGTAATATCTCTGCGTCCCAATCCTCCAACTCCTGAAATTGTAAGACAGTCACAGCAGCAAAATATGTTTGTCGGGACAGGGCGTCCGCTGCTGCATTTTCCTTGCCAGGCCTATACTGGATTTCGAAATCATAACCAATGAGCTTAGAAACCCATTTAAATTGCTCTTCACTCATAAGTCGCTGCTTTGTCAAAAAACTTTAAACTCCGCTGATCCGATTGGATGACGAAATGGCTTCCTAACAAATAATGTCTCCATCGTTGCACAGCCTGTACTACTGCCATTAACTCTCTTTCATATACTGACTTTTGTTTGCTTCGTGCAGATAAAGCCTTGCTCCAATAAGCAAGAGGACGACCCTCTTGAAGTAAGACAGCTCCTAAACCACGGCTAGAGGCATCAGTCTCCACCACAAAAGTTTTAGTAAAATCTGGAACAGCCAATATAGGTAAAGAAGTAAGAGCTTGTTTCAGGTCGTCAAAGGCAGTTTGAGCTTCTGCATTCCAAGAAAAACCACCCTTTTGAAGCAGCTGGGTTAGGGATTTAATACGTCTACCATATCCCTGCACAAACCATCTATAATAACCCGTAAGCCCCAAAAATCCACGTAACTCCTTCACATCTTTAGGAACTGGCCATTCCTGCATAGCGGCAATTTTCTTAGGATCTGCTGCCACTCCCTGTCCAGAAATCACATGTCCTAGATACTCTAGGCTGGTTTGGCCAAAAGAACACTTCTCCTTATTAACCTTCAAAGAATGCTCCTGTAGTATGCGTAACACTTGCCTAGTGTGATCGATATGGCATTCCAAACTTGGGCTGTAGATGAGAATATCATCAAAAAATACCAATACAAATCTGTGTTAAAAAGGCTTCAGTACCTCATTCATCAAGGCTTGAAATGTGGAAGGAGCATTAGTTAATCCGAATGGCATCACAAGGAATTCATAATGGCCTTCATGAGTCCTAAAAGCTGATTTTTCAATATCTTCTTCCCGCATTTGAATTTGATGATATCCCGACTTTAAGTCCAACTTAGTGAAAATAGTAGCACCACCCAGTTCATCTAATAATTCCTCAATAATAGGAATCGGAAATTTGTTGGGAGTAGTTATCTTGTTGAGGGCCCGATAATCCACACAAAATCTACAACTGCCATTCTTCTTCCGTACCAATATGATGGGACTAGAATAAGGACTAATACTAGGCCTTATAACCCCTGCTGTCAACATTTCATTTACCAACTTTTCAATCTCCGTTTTTTGGTAATGAGGATATTTATAAGGTCTGATATTCGGAATCACAGATCCTTCCTTTAAATGAATAGCATGATCTTGTCTTCTAAATGGTGGTAAACCTACTGGAGTTTCAAAAATAGTTGGAAATTGATGTAAAAGTTGTAAACATTTCTATAGGAATCTCATTGCTATCCTGAACTGTTTGTTCCAGTGAAAAGCAATCCACCAAAAACCCTTCTTCTTCTTGCTGCAATAATCGAAACATAGTCTTGGAAGATGCTGATGATCGGCATAAAGTTGGATCTCCCTTCAAAATTTTTTCCTCACCGTCTACCTTAAACCTGTAGAAAGTTCTTCAAAGTTAGCTTTAATGTCTCCCAAACCGGCCAACCAATCTAACCCCAGCACCAAATCCGCTCCTCCTAAACCAAACACATAGAATTTTTGTTTGATCTCCATATCCGCCAATTTGAGCAACAATCCTTCACATACTCCTTGACATTTAATTCTGTGGCCATCTCCAACTTCCACGAAATAAGAAGAAGTTTCAGTGACTACTAAATTCAATTCCTGCACTAATTGGGTAGATACAAAATTGTGGAAAGCTCCACAATCTATCAGAATTACCACCTGTTTTTCTTTTACTGTGCCCGTATCTTTAGAGATCTCTTAGTTGTTAACCCCACTATGCTATGCAGGGACAGTTGAATATCTTGCTCATCAACCAGGGTGTTACCCTCATTGGGAGCATCTTCTTAGGGTCCTCGATCCTCCTCCAATATCATCATTTGAAATTGTTTATTTTTACAAATGTGATTAGGCCCGAATTTTTCATCACATTTGAAACATTCCCCTTTCTTCAACTTTTCTTGCATTTCAGCATCAGTTAATCGTTTGAATCCCCTTGTTCTAACTCGTCCTTCTCCCCCTTAATTACTACCACTATTGCTCACAGCCCCTTCATTGCCTCTGCCTTGAATCCTGGACCCTTGAGCTATTGCAAATGACCCTCCTGATCCCAAGCTTCGATAGGAATTTGCAGTCTTACTCCCACTTAAAAACCCTGTTCTTCCCAATGCTGAGTTCTTCTCTTCCACCAACATGGCTTTCTTGATGATTGCTGATAACGATTGCGGCTCATATAACTTCACCTCTGCACTGACATCCCCACGCATGCCATTCAAGAAAACTTCCATCAAATAATTTTCATCCATACCTGTCATTGCTCCCGCATATCTCTCAAATTGACTTACAAATTCTGCAATTGATCCCTCTTGTTTCAGTCGCAATAAGGCTGCGAACGGATTCGGAGCTGTGGTAGGTTGAAATCGCTCCATTACTGAGTTACGAAATTGATCCCATCCGGGGTTAGGGTTACACCCTTCCCACCAATGGAACCAACTAAGAGCGTCATTTTCTAATGCCAAAACCACCATATTCATGCGATCTACTGCACCCACTTCTCGAATTCGAAAATACCTTTCTATTTTTTGGATCCACCCGTACACGTCCTCACCCACAAATAGAGGAACGTCAATTGTGCGCCAATTTGCACTTGTCCTGCCAACGCTATTCCCTTGCTCACCTTCCGATCTTGAACAGCGCGACATTCCTTCCTCTTCTTGTCTAGGTTCTGAACGCTGCAATAGCGTATTCAACATTTTTTCCAATCTTTGAAATCGCAAATCTTGTGCTTCTAAACGTTTCTCCAATGTCTCAAATTTCTGAGCTTGCATTTGCAAATCCCCTTCTCTTTGCGATATTATTGTTTTCTCCAAGGCGTCGATCCTACTATCCATTCTTGTATTTGCCATTATTCAATTCCCACGGCACTTGGATGTTGCTCTGGATACCAATTGACAGAACTAGGTACAGAAAGAATGCAATATTATTGAATTTCTGGAACAACAGAATACATGCACTAATGTTCTGAGAATTATTCGAGTAGTTCTCAGTCTACTCCCAAGGTTACTTTTTACAAAAAAACAAGATCCCTTGATTATCTTTATTTCTTCTATTTATAATGTCCTAAGTTGTAACGGTTTTTAGTTGAAAACTATCCAACTGTCTCTTGGGCTCTTGGGTTTTGCTCCCCTACAACTGATCCCTTCCTTCTCTTATACACCTTCAAGGGACGATCTCTAACAGAAAGACTCTTTGTTCTACATGTAAATGAACCACTTTTTTAACCTGTCTACCAAACCCTGCCTTATCCTTGGCCCACTCCTCCCCTCCAAATAAAAAGTGATATGCCTTGATCATTGTACCCTAAATTTCCTTGGAGTTGTTTCACTTGTTTGGAAATGAGTTCACTAGTGTTTTAGGTTGTAGTGTATTAAGTTGTGGATTTTTTTAATGCACACAGAGTATGCTTTCAAGGCTGTTAAGGCTGCTGGGATCACCTCCATTGGTGTTCGAGGAAAGGATTCTATTTGTGTTGTTACTCAGAAAAAGGTTCCGGTGAGTACTGAAAGTTGGTTCTTTGATTTTTTTTCTTGTACTTTGTGCTGGCTGTTTAAGTTGGGATGTTTAATGCAGGATAAGCTTCTGGATCAGACAAGTGTTACACATCTCTTTCCCATCACAAAGTATCTTGGTTTATTGGCGACTGGCATGACGGGTATGTTTTTTGTTGCATCTCTTCATGATTTCTTTGTTGTAGATGTTTGTGAAATTTAATTTTATACCTTTTTAGTCAAGATATACTGCTGTTTTATAACTAAACTATCTTGACACTATAAATTCAACTTGCTTTATCCCATTGGAATACCTCTTTCCAGCTGATGCTAGGACACTGGTTCAACAAGCAAGAAATGAAGCTGCAGAGTTTCGCTTTACGTATGGATATGAGATGCCTGTGGATGTATTGGCTAAATGGTAAGTGATTCAGTTTTTAAAAGCTATGTTACCTCTGCAATTATTACTAGCTGCTTATTACTGTTTCATTTGTTTTTTGGTTTCAATTTCATTATTGGGTGTGGATGCAATATCTTATCTCTGGGTAATGTGTTCTGTTTGTTAGAATTCAGTTCTACAATCTTTGAAAGCATTGTTGGACAGTCATTACAACTTTACTAGCTCAAACATTCTAAATTGTGATGTTATTTTTGTCGATGTTATATGTTTTTGTTTTGAAGTAGCTAGTAATTAATATGGGTTCCGTGAGAAAATAACTTCTGGCATGTTTTGTTTGATGTACAAGAGTAGAGAGCTTAGTTCATTGCTGTATTAGTTTTCTTAATGCTTATTGTGTAATGTTTTTGAGACAGGTCCCCCTCCTCAAAAGGAAAATAAAGCCACCAAATCCCGGTGGCAAAGTAGGACATATTGCCTACAATTGAGCACCGTGAATGTGCTCCTAGGCCACTTCCATGACACATTATCTTTGTTTGCAATAACCTCATTATAATAATTCATTGTTGAATCTGACTGTAATTTTGACTTTTATCAAAGGCTACATTTGGCTTAAAATAATTTAGGCTTTTACAATTTGTCAATAACATCTTGTGTCTGACTTCTGTTATCTTTTACACTGACAGGATTGCAGACAAATCACAAGTCTATACTCAACATGCTTATATGCGACCACTTGGAGTTGGTATGTTTCTTATTTAGCCTTTTCACTGCTTAAAAGATCACGTAATTAGTTTTATATGATAAAACAATATTTCCTATTTCAATTGCTTTTTTTTTTTTTAATTATTGATGGTTTTTCCTCTTTCTATGATTTCAAATCTATGGCGCTGTTAAGTTGCTATGGTTTTGGGTATTGATGATGAATATGGGCCTCAGCTTTACAAATGTGATCCGGCTGGTCATTACTTTGGTCACAAGGTACACAGAAGATGCTCTCTGACCTTGGTTGAATTTATATTTCTGCAGTGACTAGTGTCTGATATTTAATATTAGAAGATGAAGGCATGTGATAAATTCAATTCTGTAAAAATTTAATATGTTATGCAATGAAAGGTATTATCTGTCATCATAAAATAATAGAGGAGGTTGGGGATGACCAAAGCAAGATTGTCTGCTTTTACTTTGTGTAAGTGGTTTATTTTGTTTTTTTTAATTACTAGAGTAAGATTGTATGCTTTGAGCTAACTGAGATAAATTATTATAATATTATTGATTGATGGGAGAAATAATGTTTATCCCTTGTTAAAAGGGGGAAATTGCTATAAGGGGTTGAATTTTGGTGGGGATTGGGGATGATGGAGATAGTTGGATCTAACTTTTTATCATTTTTGAAATTGATAGCAGCCTTGAAGTCAAGGTAGTCAAAATTGAGATCCTATACGCATTAGGCTGCAACATGCAATGACCTATGGAGTTGGTTGTCCCATCTTTTATCAATGACATTCCATAGATGGAGATAACTAATCGATAAAAAAATTAAATTAATTTTCAAACAAAGATAAGCAAAATTATAAATTCAATTTAACTTCATAATCTATTTACTTTTTTTTTTTTAACTGTCATTGGAGGCCTTTGCTATCTTCTCTTTAGCTCGGTTCATTTCCTCATAAATAAACCTCATAGCTAGTATCTGATCCAAATCAACCAACCGTATAACTTTGATTAGAGGATAAACACCCTTTAAGCAAACAGTGCCTTTCTAGAAATTTTTATCCATAATCACATCTTCAATAAACTTTCCATCTGTCGATTTAGCAAACTGGCTAATCTTTTGTTGATTAAATGTGAATATTATAACCAATGCTTCCTTATGCTCTTGAAGGCATCACAAAGTAAGGTATGATGTGGCAAAGTAAGTGATGATTGATCTCTCTTTCCTTTGTAAAGTATTGTAATAAAGAAATTAGAGAAGTCCTTGAGTAAATGTAAGTAGTAATTTTTTCCCCTTTGAGATTGTCTGTTGATGTATGGGTAACTTTGTCAAATCCTCCAATATCAAATCTATGTAGTGAGCAGCACATTGTGTCTAATACAATTTTTTCTTTTTTTCCATCAACAGTTCACCTGCAGCCTTGTTTGCTGCATTGTCTTTAACAATTTCGACCACATTATCTTCACCAACCTCCTCTTCAATGTCATCCATTATCTTAAACAGTTTGTCAAATGTTTTAAATATATGAGATGCATCAATTGAAGTAAAAAAAACTGTACCCATAGAATGGTTCAACAAAAAATTCAATATAGTTCTCTTTTTGTTGGTCCAGCCATCTGTCATTATTGTGCATCTTATATTCCTCCTTTGTTCTCCTGTCACATGATGCTTTAAATTCTTAAACTTTGATTTCATGATAGGAAGGTTGCTTGAATTCAACACAATATTTTGCAACAAATTCCAACATCTTATGAAATTTCTCACTCCTTCTCACATTGGATGATATGACGTTGTTGTAGGAAAAAGAAGCAATATCTTGACATGCTTCCTCTTTCAAATTCTTTGAATATGTTATTGAGAGTGACTTGATTACTTACTCCTTTCTTCTTAAAAATATTCCACTGCTCTCAGCTTCAATCCTTTTTCTTTTTTCATCATCATCACCTTCTACAAGCTCTTTGAGGTTGCTGTTTGATTTCTTGATTAATTTTTCCTGTAATGAGGACAAAACTGGCCACATTTCTTTCTTCACTTGATCACTAATAGAAGTACAAGCACCCATATCTTTTTGTGTTTCAACCAAATGATGTTTCAAACGATAAACCCTACCACTTATGATTTTTCAACAATATTTGCATTGTATTTTTGTGCATCTCCATCCATTGATATTCCATGCTGCAACGCCTCATCACTCTTAATTCAAGGTGCATTTTTTTGCACAATAGAACTTGTAACAACCGCACCAATAGGGTTGCTTACTGAAATAGTAGAAGCACTACCAATGGTTGGACTTGGAACCACTCTCCTTTCCAGTTGTCCTCTCCTGCTTGTAGGTACACCTCTCCCACTTGTAGACATTTTGAAGGAAGACAAAAGGAACAAAACAAGAATGCTTCTATTGAAACAGAGGCTGAGGAAGCAACACAACTAACTCCACTATTCAATAACCACCTAGTTGTGGTCATGTCAAAAAATGATGGAGAAAGAGGCAATTTGAAGGAGAAAATGGCACAAAAAGAGAATGGACTTGTGCAGTGCCGAGGACAAAGTCAAAGTGATAGGAGTTAGGGTCCTAACCCTAATATCTTTGTAAATACTAACTCAGAAAAGGCCAAGCCTTGGCTGGTTTACTCTAGGAAAAAGAAAGCAGTTAATAATGACAGCTAGCAATTAGGAGTTATTTTTTGGTTTCAAGCCCCAGCTATAAATAGTAGCTGGGAGAGTTAGTCAGGGGTCTGTTTTGAAAGTTAGTTTCTAAACTTGGCAGGAAAATTCTGAGGAGCATTGCTCTGGGGTACAGGATTGTACACTGAAAATTCATTAATTCAATAAAGAATTAATAAAGATTGTATTTTCTTCCCTCTTTTCTTGTGAACATAACACTGATCTGACCTACCGGATTCGGTTGGGGAAGAAACAGAGAAGTGTGGATTAGCAAGAATTTCAAGATAATGAAGCGTGGTGCAAACGAAGGTCATCACAGTGACGTTTTTGAGGAAAAAATGAATTCCTTGGAGGAAAGATTAGATGTTTTCATGGAGACGATGATTGGGAGGATGGGAGGCCTTGAAGATTTGATACGAGACTATATTGCCAAACACGACGACTCGTTGGGTTGAAATTTGGGTCAGAACAATTCTTGCGCTGACGAACAGGAAGCATTGCATAACGTAGATGCAAACACGTTGACTGAGTTTCGCTTGATGGCAAAAAAGGTGGAACTGCCTTCGTTCAATGGGGTTGACCCAAGGGGATGGATCACAAGGGCTGATACCTATTTTGAGGTTTAAGGAATGTCAGACTCCAATAAGATGCTCACAAGATTGAGCATGGAGGGTGGAACGATCCACTGGTTCCAGACTTGGCTTGATTCCGAGGCTATTCCCAATTGGGAATCCTTCAAGAACGTACTGTGATTGCGTTTTAGAGGGGGGTGTTTGGATGATCCCTTTGAAGAACTCGCTGACTTGAAGTATAAAGGGTCTGTGGAAGAATACATCAAAGATTTTGAGTTTCTTGTATCCCAAGTGGGGCGCCTGCCTGAGAATCAGTTTGTGGGATTTTTCATGAAAGGACTAAAGGAGCAAATCAGATTGCGAGTCCGTACGCTTCAACCCAAGGATCGTTTGGATGCCATCCATATGGCTAGGTGCGTGGAGGCAAAAATTGCTGGGTCTATGGATATCTTAAATGTGCGCAGCAGATTATGGAATAATGGAGTTTTTTCTCGAGGATTCAGGGGAAACCTGGCACGTTCACAATATGACAATACCCAAGCACAGACTGAGACAAAATGTAAGGTAAACTTTGGAAGTGGTAAATCTTTATCCTCTGGAGAAAAGGGACCAGTAGCCTCGGTGGGATCCTCCACCTCTGTCAATCAGAAGTCTGCACATTCTACTTATGAAGATAGGGGAGTTAGACACCTGTCTAATAGGGAGATCTATGAAAGGAGAAATAAGGGATTATGTTTTAGGTGTGGAGACAAGTACCACCCTCTTCATGTTTGTGCTGATTGACAAGATAGGCAATTAAGGTTGGTGATTATAGGAGAGGATGAAGGAATTAGTGAGACAGGAGATTGTAAGGTTGGAAGTGGAATCCGATGAATCTGAAGAGGAACAACTAGATCGCACTTCAATGGATCTATTGGGATTGATTGGGAATTCCCAAAGTGATACTAATACAATGAAATTAGAAGGCAGGTTGGGAGAAGTACCAATAATCTTGCTAGTTGACAGTGAGGCCAATCACAACTTTATTTCTCTAAGAATGGTCCAAGCCTTGAGCCTAAAGGTGGGAGACAGAAGGTATTAGAGTGAAATTGGGAGATGGTCATAGAGTTCAAACTTTGGGGACTTGTCCCAAAGTTCATCTAAACCTTGTTGCTATTCAGGTTCAGATTGATGCACATGTACTTGAACTAGGGGGCCTGGACATGATCTTGGGAATTGCTTGGTTAAAGACACTAGGGAAGATGATAATTGATTGGAAGGATCTCTCTATGACTTTCCAAGTGCATGGTCGGCCAGTGGACCTGAAGGGCATTGGTGGTGGAAAAGGGAATGTTGTCCCTACCTTCAATGAGCTTTTAGATGGTCAACTTTGCAAAGTTGAAGGGCTAAATTGGAAAAAGGGAGTTCTGGAATTTTCTGCTGATGACAGTGAGTTGAAACCTCAGCAATTAGATGTGCTGCAGGGGTTATTGCAGCAGCATGCAATTATATTTGAAGAGCAAAAGGGATTACCTGCCAAGGGGGCCATTGAGCACTTTATTGTATTATACCTAGGTACTGGTCCAGTAAGTGTCAGACCATATAGATGCCCCACCATCACAAGGATGAGATAGGGAGGCAAGTGAAAGAAATGCTGAATGTTGGGGTAATAAGGCATAGCACCAACCCTTACTCTAGCCCAGTTATTTTGGTCAAGAAGAAAGATTCTTCATGGAGAATGTGTGTGGACTATAGGGAGTTAAATAAAGTCACAGTTCCAGACAAGTTCCCAATTCCATTGGTGGATGAGTTGCTTGATGAGTTACATGGAATGAGGTTTTTCTCTAAACTAGACTTACGTTCAGGTTATCATTAGATACGTGTTAAGGAGAAAGACATTGGTAAAACAGCCTTTAAAACTCATGAAGGTCATTATGAGTATCTAGTCATGTCTTTTGGCCTAATGAATGCACCAACCACCTTCCAATCTACTATGAATCAAGTTTTCAGACCTTTCCTTCGTCACTTTGTACTGGTTTTTTTTTATGACATATTAGTTTACAGTAGGGACTGGTTTGCACATATTTTGCATCTTTCTAAGGTTACGGAAGTCCTCAGGGAACATCAGTTTGTTGCTAATTTGAAAAAATGTAGTTTTGGTATAAGTCAAATTGAGTATCTTGGGCATGTGATTTTTGAAAATGAGGTGACAATGGATCCTGCTAAGGTCAGCAACATCTTAAACTGGCCAACCCTAAGAATGTGAAGGGGGTGAGAGGGTTCCTTGGGTTGACAGGGTGCTATAGGAAATTTGTTTTAAACTATAGGAAGATAGCTAAACTTCTCACTGAGTTAACTAAGAAGGAGGCCTTTGTGTGGAATCTAAGGGCTGAACAAGCCTTTCAGAAATTGAAGAAAGTAGTCAGTTCTGCTCTTGTGTTGAGGTTGCCTGATTTTTCACAAGAAATCCAGATTGAATATGATGCCTCAGGGAGTGGTATAGGAGCCGTTCTCATGCAATAGCAGCAACCTATTGCATTTTACAGCAAGGCTCTTTCTGCAGGTCAATTGTCTAAATCAGCTTATGAGAGGAAACTGATAGCTCTGGTCTTGTCCATCCAGCATTGACGTCATTATTTGATTGGGAGAAAGTTCACCATTTTTTCTGATTAGAAGAGTTTGAAGGAAGTGTTGCATCATCAGAAAATTACCACCTCTGCTCAGCAAAATTGGTTATCCAAGTTACTTAGATACCAATTCATAGAAGTTTACAAGGTTGGTACTGAAAATAAGGCAGCAGATGCCCTCTCACAAATCTACGAGGATGTTGAGCTAAATGGTATCTTGTCCTATCCTTTATGGCTGCAAGTTGAGGGACTTCAGAAGGAGATAAAGAAGGATGATTTTATTCAAAAGATGAAGACTGATTTACAGAAAAATTCCGAAAAAAGGGCAGGTTATTCTATTCAGAATGGGATCTTATTGCATAAAGGGAGCATAGTTATACCATCTACTTCCTCTTACGTTCCTCAATTACTGGAGGAATTCCATGCTTCTCTTAAGAGTGGGCATGAAAAGAGGGTCCTTGAATTTATCAAAAGTTGTGATGTCTGCCAAAGGCATAAGTATGCAGCCACTTCCCCAAGAGGTTTACTTCAACCCCTACCTATTCCTTGAATGGTATGAGATGACATTTCATTGGATTTCATTACAGGACTACCAAAATCTAAAGGCTATGAGGCAGTTTTGGTAGTAGTAGATATGGGCATTTCATACTGCTTAAACATCCCTATACAGCATGAACAGTAGCTGAGATTTTTGCTAAAGAAATAGTTCTTCTGCATGGCATTCCCTCTTCAATTGTGAGTGACAGGGATCCACTCTTTATCAGCTCTTTTTGGAAAGAGCTCTCCAGATTGCAGGGGACTAAGCTGAAAATGAGCTCCTCATATTATCCTGAAACAGATGGTCAGATAGAGGTTCTAAATAGGTGCCTTGAGACATACTTAAGGTGCTTTGCTTCAGAGCAGCCAAGGAACTGGTCCCTATGAGTGCATTGGGCTGAATTCTAGTATAACATATCCTTCCATACTACTACAACTGCTACTCCATTTGAAATTGTTTATGACATACCTCCTCCAAGACTTACCCGGTTCCTTCCTGGAGAAACCAAGGTACAAGCTGTAGCCAGTGATCTACTAGACCATGATGAAGCTCTATCTCAGTTGAAGTTTAACTTGCACAAGGCCGAGTATCAGATGAAGCATTTTGCTGACAAGAATAGAAGAACAATATCCTTTGAAGTTGGAGAGTTCGTTTTCTTAAAACTGCGTCCCCACAGGCAACAAACAGTGGCCAAAAGGATTAATCCTAAACTTGCTGCTAGGTTCTATGGGCCCTACAAGATTTTGCAAAGGATTGGTGAGGTAGCTAATAAGTTGCAGCTGCTTGAGACCTCAAGAGTGCATCGGGTATTTCATGTTTCTCAGTTAAAAAGGGCTGTTGGTAACTACACTACCTTTCCTGACCTACCTAGTGGATTTGAAGTCGAACTCAAAGCTACAGTTGAAGCTGAAGCTGCTCTAGTCCAAAGAGAAGTTATTAACAGTGGCACTCCTTGCAAGCAATGGCTGATCAAATGGAAGCACTGCCCTCTAGAGGACACCACATGGGAAGATGAATTTGTGTTGCTGAGCCAATTCCCTCACTTCAAACTTGAGGGCAAGTCTATTCTTCTAGAATGGGAGAATGATAGGAGTCAAGGTCCTAACCCTAATATCTTTGTAAATACTAACTCAAGCAAGGCCAAACTTTGGCTGGTTCTCTAGGAAAAAGAAAGCAGTTAATAATGACAGCTAGCAGTTAGGAGTTATTTTTTTGTATCAAGTTCCAGCTATAAATAGTAGCAGGGACAGTTAGCTAGGGGTCTATTTTGAAAGTTAGTTTCTAAACTTGGCAGAGAAAATTATCTGAGAAGCATTGCTTTGGGGTATAGGATTGTACATTGAAAATTCATCAATTCAATAAAGAATTAATAAAGATTTTATTTTCTTCCCTCTTTTCTTGTGAACATAACACAAAGACAATCACAAGGTGTTGAGAGGTGACAACTGAAAAAAAACCCTACACATTTGGATAATATAAGTCTAGTAAAAATTTTGGATGGATCAAATGGGTTCAATTGGTTTTTTTTTTTTTTTGAAAAAACGGGTTGAATATGAATATGCCCAGGATTGCATGATTTCACGAGGAAGATCGTGCAATCCCACCAAAATGAGCCACAGTCCAGAATTGGGATCACTCCACATGTGGTGAATCGTAAGATCGTCATCTTATGTGTAAACTCACGATCATGGTAGTCAAAATTGCAAGTTAACACGTAAAATCGTATGATTTTATTATCTGCTGCAGGTTCAATGATCCCGATCTTGGGCTGGAACTCGTTTTGGTGGGATCGCACAATCTTCATCGTGAAATTGTGGAATCTACGATCTTGGGCGAGTTGCTTCTGCCCCATTTTTAGGGTTTTTTTTTTCTTTTTCAATCTTCTCTCCAATCTCTTGCCTCTTTGCAACCTGCGAGGCGCACTTCTCTTCTTCCTCAGCACAGCGAATCTATTCATTCCATTCTCTACCCCTTCTCCTTCAAATTGCCTCTTTCTCCATCATTTTTGGACGCGACCAGGACTTTGCGACTGCATTCTTCTGTTCTGTGATCCCTATAGCTTTCGCTTTGATGACTATGTCTGCTCCGGTGACCTTCTCTGTGCCAGCGACTCTGCTCAGCGCCGTCAACTTGTCATAGCGGAACGTTTTGCCGTGGTGGCCATCACAGCTGTATTTGCAGCCAACGTAGCCTAATATACAGTGTGGCTGGAGTAAAAGTTATTAAGTTTCCCTTTCTATCCCTTGAATGAAGCAGATTTTAGGGTTTTTTAAGGGTAAAAAAAAGACTTCTCATCATTTAAAAATAATCTAACTTTCCCTTTTTACCCTTAAAGTGGCTCTGTCTTAAGTTTCTTTAAGGATAAACTAGTCTTTTATCAGAATACAATACTTAATCTATCTTTTCCCTCTCTGTTTCTGTTCTTAGTATCTCTGTTTTGAGATGGGGTGGCTCACTTCTCTCATTTGTCCTCTGGTATTTATATTTATACAATTTTACATGTATTTATACAATTTTGTAGGATCTTACGATTCGTGTTACGATCCTACGAGTTATGATTTTTCATCCCCACTTCGATTTTACTTAGAATCTCGATTTTGACTATCTTGCTCTCGATTTTGACTACCATGCCTTGAACTCATCATAAGAAGTTTTTGAAATTTATGTAATGTTTATCATTTTCATGTACAGCTGTTATAAGTATGTAATCATCTGTTGAAGTTTATGAGCCCCCAGGTATCTTGAATTTTTCCTTTCTCCCCTGCTTTGTTTGGGTTCAATATCCCTTTCTAGAACTAGAAACATGAGAAGTCATGCATCTCTGATCAGTGCTTTGAGATTTTGAATTTTTTTTTTAAATTATAAAACTGTTTTCTTTGCTCTTCTGACTACTTTTTAATATTTTCATGTTCACTCTAAGGCGTCATGGATAATTTAACTTTAAAAATGTCTCAGTAAGGAATTGTGTTTTATCATTACATCATGCATTCATAATCTGTTTGTAATTAATTTTATGCACCTGTAGACAGAAATTAAAGTGTAGAATTATCATGATGTACGCAGGCCACAAGTGCTGGATTGAAGGACCAAGAAGCAATTAATTTCTTGGAAAAGAAGATGAAGAATGATCCTTCATTTACCTATGAGGAGACAGTTCAGGTAGTGCTACTCTTTCTTTTCCCCTGTCTAGCTTGAGAAATTGACTGTCCTTTTATCTGGCTGTTGTTGGTACGGAAAGTGAAGACTATCCATGTTGTCACTGAGAACTTGTGTACTGTAAAGTATATTTCAACATTTTGGATTTTCCTCCTTGAGATAAACACAGGATTCGGTTGATCCCTTTTCATTTTCTGGTAGCACTCGACTTTTCTTACTCGATAAATATTTACTAGGCTATTATATTTTATAATTATAAGTTGGTTTAAATAGATTTTTAGTACCTTTAATTTACCTCAATTTTGGTTTTGGTCCCATTACTTTAAAAATTTATTTTTTTGGTCCTTATAGTTTTATTTCATTTAGGTTTTGGTCCTTATAATTTTATTCTATTTAGGTTTTGGTCCCTCTAGTATACTTAGATTGTTCCAAACAATTGTATCTTGCAAGGTGTGTTTTGACATATTGCTAGTAATTGGGACCAAAACCAAAATTTTTAAGACTATAGGGACATTTAAAGTATAGGGGTCAAAATCAAAAGTGATGTAAATTATAGGGACTAAAAATGTATTTAAACCTTATTAGTGATCTATTGATTAATAATATTTCTGAAAAATTTGGCTTTTGACCAAGTTTAATAACGCTGTGTAATCCATGTAACCGAGTTCATCTAGTGGGATAGCCTAGTTGCTGATGAAAGTTATTGGACAAAATATTGAATGTATTTGGATGCTGAAGATTGGCTGTGTTTGATCGAAAGCTGAAAAGCCTGAAAAATCTGAGTGGAATTTGACTTAAATGATCCCAGTTTTGGATTTCCTCACTGGAGATATAATGGCTGATTATCTTTTATATTTCTGAGTGCTGAAGGAGGCAACAAAGATATATCCCTGTCAGTCAGATAATGCAATAAAAAAAAAACTTTTATGTCCTCCTAGAAACTGAAACTTATTTCATTAGTTATTGGCATTAATGCATAATCGTTAGGTTTCATGAAGACTACATATGAGCCTTTGCTTTAGCTTAAACCTTCAAATATCCATTAAGCAGTTTGTTGCCCTTTTTTCTTTCATTCTTGTGGGGGATAATTTCTTATCTGGGTTATCTTGTAGTGGTAATTGGCTTTCGTTCGTGAGAGTTCAAAATATGCTAATGCTATATTGCAATTAAAGACACAAGAAATTAAAAGCGTTTTTTTTTTTTTTTTTTGCCAATTTTCTTACACGGTTATCCTATCATGCTATGATGTAATTCATGACCTTGCTTCTTTTTCAGACTGCCATTTCTGCCTTGCAATCAGTTCTTCAGGAGGATTTTAAGGCCACTGAGATTGAGGTAGAACTTTATTTTTAACGGTTTTATTAATGCCAATCCTTAGGATTGGTTTTAAATATCCAAAAATAATACGTTTTTATTGAAAATAAAAATATTACATGCTCTAAATAAGAAAATTGTAAATTTTTGAGGGATTGAAAGCTTAATCAAGCCTCTTTTTGTTTTTGGTTTATTACCATCAAGCAAATTTTTCTTCACTGATTGATTGCATATGATTGTTTTTTTTTTTTGGCGTTTTCTAGGTTGGAGTGGTGGGCAAGGAGAATCCAGAATTCCGAGTTTTATCCACCGAGGAGATTGATGAGCATTTGACTGCAATAAGTGAGCGAGACTGAGTTCTTGATAAGGATGTGACTATTCAAACTTTCTGATGCTAGATTAAATTATGTACTTTTTTCTGCGATCGTGGAACTGGTCTCCTTATGATATTTGAGTACAAGTTACACAAGAACGTTAAAGAATCTACTTGCTTTCTTATTACATATTTATTTGTTGGGACCACATTTTACGTTCTGCCCAATCTCACCGTAGACTCTTAAACAAGAATTGTTGGGGATTTGAGCTTCGGCGCAGCATGTTCTGATGATATCTTTTTCTTTATTATAACTAAATGACTATTCTACGATAATTGCATATAAATGTCCAAATAAAATTAAATGAGAATTTAAATTGATATGTAAAGAAACTTTCCTTTCGATGTATAAAAAAAAGAAGAAAAACAAACTCTTTCCTTTTGGTGAGTTTGACATACGATTAAATTTAAACAAACTGCAGAATACTAATGAAGAACAAGCAAAAATATTTGACACGGTAAATAATTAGGTTTAGGAATTTAGTTAGGTTAATTTAGGGTCATATATGTATGGAATGTTAAAATCTGTTTAAAATTGTGAATTGAATTTTTTTTTTAAATATTTGAAAAATTCTTAGTTTGCTGTGAAAAATACGTATGCTTTTATTTAAGGGTGTATACGAATAAAGAATTTAATTAAACGTTTATTGAATAATTTTTCTTAAGAAAATGAAAAATTCATAGTTTGGTGTAAAAATATATCTGCTTTTATTTGAGCGTATGCGGATACATAATTTAATTTTGTTTATTTAATGGGTTTTTTTTTTTACATAATATATGTTATACATTTGACTGCGAAACTGTTCAAAGAGTTTAAAAAAGTTGCAAATCATTTTTATAAGTTTAAAAAACTTTTGTACATGTTAAAATCCTCATTAATTATTTGTAAAAATAATTTTTTCTACGATAAAAACTCCATTTTTCGGTAACATATTTGGCATGTTAAATTGAAATATGTCCATTATTTTTTTTAAAGCTATTTTTCCTCAACTATTTTTGGCATCCACCATGCCTGCAATCCACTGAACTCTTGGCACATCTTGAACTGACAACAAAAACAATAAAGCAAAAGTGGTTCGTGGCCACAAAAGTCTTAATTTATTATGATAAATCATCACTTATTTGATGTTAATGGAGGAGGCGATCTCCACCTTTGTGACTCACTGATGTGGAGGTCCATAGAGACCATTCAAAATGATAGCTTGCATTTCCTCCGTAGATTTCCAATGGCGTTTTCTTTGGTTTACAAACCAATTATTTACTTGCTTCTGGTCCAGACCAGTCCATTCAGCTAGGGCAACCTTGTCCGCATCCTGCACAAACCAGACCATAGTTTAAACTTCAAACCTACTGCGTTCATGGGCAAAAACTTTGCTATATAATGTCTTTTTTTATTTGTACTATGTTATTTTTCTTGTCTTTTTTATTTACTTTTTTTCTAATTCATAATCAAATTAATAAACCTTAATCTGCTTCAATATTTTATGATCAACGCGAAAAAGTAACATGAAACTTTTAAGAGATGTTTAATTACCGTGGGGTATGGCCATTTAAAGTGAACATTCCACCATGCAAGTAAGATTTGCTTTGCTTGTTTTGGTAGTTTTTCTTTCTTCTTCTTTTTGGAGAATTCGTGCTTCAGATTAGTAATGTAGCCGCTATATCTATGTAGAAGACCATCCTTGAACTCTTGAACTTCATTTCTCCTCCCTTCCACAGTTGCCTCTTTCTCCACTGTACTAAAATCCTTTTCAGATGATCCACCAACTTCATCTATCAAGTGAAGACAAAATTAAGTATTGATAATGAGTCTCAACCCACAAAATTCATTTGGTGTGGGGCACACCATATAATTTTATTTTTTAAAGTGCACCTTCATGGGGTTAATTGTACAAATTAACAAGGAAAAATGAAACAAATAGTGTCCTCATACACACACAACAATAAGCATATGTTCAAATTGATATATGGACTACGTTTTGGAAAATTAATAAACCTTTATAGAGTTTTGGTGGGAATTTTTTTTAACTTAATTAAAAAATTTAAGTTGAAAATGTTATTCTCATGTTCAGTTTGAGTGTTTTAAAAAATTATTCTAAAAAAATTAACATTTCTATGGATGTTTTTCTTAATTACATTTTTTAACAAAAGATTTTTATACGAGCCATGATAATTTAAGATTCATATAAAGGCGAGAAAATGTTATGCAAACTCATGATAATATTTTTAAGAAAGAATCTCTTAAATATACTAAACTATTTATAACATTTTCAGAAGTCATGATTCCCATTAAACACAATTTTTTAAGTGTAAAAGATGATTCTATGCACCAAATTCTCTTTAAAATCTAAATACCGTATAATCAATAATCATATGCTTCGTTCCCTAGCTTATTCCCATAATATATAAACGCAGAATACTTATGAACAAGGCAACTATTGTGAACATAAATTTTAGAGTGCTATTTGGAAGTGTGGGATTCTAAAAAAAAACAATCCAGCCAGAGAGTGCTAAGAAGATAGAAACGGGATAGATATTGATCAGTTGGGAAAAAGCAAAAGATGTTCATATCGAAGCATTGAGATACAGTGGAAACCCAAATAAGAGTAACCAAATTAATCACCGTGATTCAGTTTCGAACAGCTTAGAGAAACATCGAAGAGAAAGTGAGGAGATGTTTACAATAGATCATTGGGAATTTAAGAAAATAATTTGAAATTTTTATATTTTTAATCTTATTTTAATAAATTTTTATATAATATATTAGAATAAATTATTTTTAATTTATTTTAGTATGTTTCATTACAGTTAAATTTATAATATAAATCATATGTAATAATAATTTATTAAATAAAAATTTAATTAAATTGTGTATTTCATGAATTATGTGCACCATTTAGATTATACAGTATCAGAAAGTAGGACTATGTAATAGATTAATTAAAAATGGCACATTCCAAAAACAAAATGAATCAGTTATGACACATCCTAAATTAAGATAGAGTACGAAATATGTCATACACCCCAAAAGACCGTAATGTAGATGAAGCAATGAGAGCATTAGAATAACCTCAACAATAATGTTCTACCAAACTTTTCAATATATATATATATATATCACAATAAATACATTATGACATTAAGAACAGGGCCAATCTCAGATATAGAATTATTCCTAAATTCTCACCTGGCCTTTAAAAATACAATCAATCATGAATAATATTAATTTTTATGTTATTTTTTTTAATTAAGTCTATTTTTAAAATTAATCAAATCTCGTTCCCACATCAATTTTTTTATTTAGAACTTTGAAATTTTTATTTTATCAAAACATTTGAGGGCTCATGATGAATTTAGGATATAAAATTATTTTAAAAAAAGTTAGTAGAAATGTTATAAAATTTAAAGTATTTTATAAGATATGAGATTAAGGTTGAGGATGATTTTTTTTTTTTGTAAGATTTGCTATTTTAATTGAGAAATTTTGAGCAGATAATTTATTTGATTTACTTTGTAAAGATTTTGAGTAATAATAATAAAAAAGAGAATTTAAGGCTTTTCTTTATCGTTTTTACTAAATTTTATAAAAATAGGAAGCAAAGTGAAAATAAGGTAATGCTTTAATTTGTAATCTAAAAAATAAAAAAATATTTTGAAAAAACAAATCGCTATATTTGAAGAAGAATTAAAATAATACTTGTTTTTTCTTTTAATTAGAAACTAAAATTTAAAGTTTTCTTTTGCTAAAAGAGAAGACAACTTGCTTGATTTGAATATTTACTTTTTTTTATTAGTGAAATGAAACAAAACAAGCGGGGATGAGTGGAAAAGAAAAAGGAAGAAAGAATAAAAATTGAACATTTGAGGGAGACAAGAAAGTGAATAAATCATTTTGTGTTTCTTTTCCTTTCGTATCATTTTTAAATTTCCCAAAAGGGCACTGTTTTCCGTTCCTTTTTCCTGCCTCTTATCCACTCATCTCATCAATTACTTGCCATCGCAACAATTCAGAATAAAAAGCATAACTATTTACCAGCCAGGCAATATGATCTAAAAATTGCTTGCTATTTGAAAAACATCTTATAAAAATTTTTATTATAAAAGATAAATAATTTTTTATAAGTTAGAAACAATTTGTCTTCTCAAATTTTAAAGAAATTATATAAAAAATTTTCTAAAAAAACAGAGAAATCTAAATTATTTTAACTTATGAAAGAAATTTTTATATAATTTTTTTTATGATAACTTTTATAAAAATTTATCCAAATTCAACCTAAAAGTATCAGCAAAAGTTAAATATAAAAACTACCCAACGTTTCTATGGAAGCATAAATAAGTGTGATGGTTGAGTTGCAGATGCCTAATTGCCATTCTCCCTTAAGCACCCAACAAAGATGTTCAGAATTCCTTTGAGTATTTGACCCTAAATAGCAGATACGAACCAAATGTACATTCATGCTTATTAGTATTTCTTAGAACTTTTCGATCATATATCTATCCTGTCATGTTGCAATTAATAAGAAGAATATCAATTAAAATATAGGTTTAGTTGTGTTATAATTGGCTTTTCGTTTATGAATTGATTTATGCATTTTAAAAGTTATGCTTTTATCTTTATATAAGCATTTCATTATAATTTATTTTTACTATAATTGGCCATTTTAACACTTTGATAACAGTGTTATAAAATGATAGATTATATAATTAGGACTAAAATATAATGAAAACGTTTATAAATCAACTAATAACAATTTTTTAGGTATATAAACTAATTTGTAAGAAAAAAACTATCCTAGGAATCACATATGTATTTTCATATTTTAATCAAGAATATTTAAATAACCTAGACAAGCATGCAAATGACAGAAAAAGCATCTCTACATAAAAGCCTCATGTGCGTGCATTTCATAATTGGATGATCCAGAGAACTAGTTATAGCTATATTTGTTTCATGTTTAAGGATCTTATTTTCCACCAAATCCATAATCTTCAGATCCATTGCAATGCGCAGATTAAAGAAAGCAGCTTTATCCGGAACTAGAACATGTTACCCAAAATAGCCAACGAATGAACATAGAGTCTATCCTCGATTGCAAGAAGGTATTACTATAATAAAATTTTCTACGATTCCGAACACGAGTCAAGTACAAAATGTATATGGATAACCTCAAAAGTAGAAACGATTAAATTAAAAGAAAGAGAAAGCAATAGTGGATTTCTAAGGAAAGGATGAGATCAGTGTACAATTAACACATGCAACCACACTACTACTTGGAACATAATCTTAATTAATGATAAAGATCAAAGACAATGCACATCTGGCTCCAGTTCAGGGTTTATTATACACATAATTATAGCTTTTTGAACTTGACTGCAAATTAAATTACTTCCAGTAGAGTACTTTAAACAATAACTTTTTCCTCCAGTGTTGAAAGATCTATAATTATTTTATTCAAGAGAAAAGTTTGTGACAGACCATCCTAGGAGGAGATTGGATCATTGATTTCCGTAAGTAAAAAAGCAGGGAGGAATAGCTAAAGTAATCAACGGTGATGGCTGAAACATTGGGAGCTATGTGAGGGAGAAGTGTATTTCTATAGACCACTGTGACATTTTTTTTTCTTTTAATAAAAACCTTAAGATGGAAGAAAAAAAACGATATATGTGATGAATTATGTGCTGAGAAAAACTTTAAGATGTAAAGCAATATAAAATGAATTTAAAAATTACTGTGTATTTTTTTTAATTTAAATTGTTACTTAATCATATCAGAACGTTTGAAAGAAAAACATATGAAAATAGTTATCTTTTCATAAGCTTTTTGATTAAAATCATGTCACAAGCTCTCATAAAAAAATTATTAAATTGAAATTTAATTAAACATTTTACTCAAACACACCTATATCCCCTATTACACGCCATTATATAAATATCATAACATACAGTTAGCACAAACAACTCCTCATTAATCTGACTCGTCTGAGGTACAAATGGATTTGCTGCTGCCTATAATAAATGGAAACGGGATATATACTAGGACTAGATAGCAGAGTTTGGCACACTATGAAATGAATCAATATAATCCCAATAACTATCTCAAATGTTAGAAATGAAAAAACACTCAATTTATATATCACATGCCTCTTAATCTCATAAATCTTTAAATTTTTTAGCAATTTTCTATTTATGTGTCTTCTCGTTTTAAAACTTAATAGCTTTAAAGAGTTTAAATTTTGAGAAGTTTTAATGCATAAATTTATTGTATTACTTATTGTAACATGAGGAGTCAAATACTGTTACATAAAAAAGTCTTAATGTACTAATACATTTACAAATAAGCCAAAAAAATCAATCCAAGTAAATTCCTTGAGAGTTTGTCAATGTCCTCCCATCTCTACCTTATTTTATTTTCTTCATCAAAACATATAATCCATTTCCAAGTACTATTTTCTGTCTATTAATTAGCTTTTTTTTTTCTCATTTGCAATTATACTAGTCAGTAACTGATTGATTGAATGACATGCAATGATTAGTTTCGCATAGAAGTTTAACAAAATGAATTATAAGTCTGCAGCATAGATTTCTTAGGGTCTCAGTGTAATAATTTTGTAACATGCAAAAATATGTTCATCGATATTTACTAACACTAAAATAAAATAAAGCAATTACAATAGGCATAAAATTTGTAATTTTTTTTATTAGACAAATCAAATTATGCTATCAATATTCTTAATTGACTATGTATTTATACAATTTTATATCATCTGTGCATTGCACGCTAATATTAAATTTAAAATATAAAATATGTTAAATTATATATTTTAAATTTACTAAAAATTATATTATTATTATTATTATTAAAAATTTAATAAAATAAAAAAATGTGTTTATAATAGAAAAAAGTATTTATAAATAAATATTAATTGTTAACATACAATATAAGAGTCTTATTACACTATTTATACATTTTAATTAGTTTGTAATATGCATTTTCACATTAAATCATGAGATATGACATTTTACTGATTATGAATTATACATTTAATTAATATGTTCAACTTTTATCCATTTCTTTACTTATTTAGGTTAATGAAAAATTATTATTTAATATTGATCGCTGAATAATTAATGACATTATTTTTCTTAAGTGTTTATTAATAAAAGAATATAAGCACAGGCACCTTGCGAAAGACATAAACTCTATTATAAAATTATAAGAAATGTATTAGTCATCATATTGTTTGTCAAAAATGAGTTTACATTCCGAATGGATAAATGGTTCATACCTTTTTGACTTATTCCATTGCCCTTAAATCTTAGTAAATTCGAAATAGAATCAGTCCAATTTTTTCTAGCTATATATAGCAAAAAATATGAAGGCATAAAGGAGCCAAATGTTATGTATGAAGGCCCTTTAAGTTTTATGAAATATATGTAAATTATGAATATAGGCTGGGTTACCTCTTATAACCTTTTAGTAGGTTTCTTTTGGTTGATAATAATAGAAAATGAAATCAAAATAAATCTCAGCGAAAGGGTGTAAAAAATATTAAATAAACTAGTCTATAAATATCCTGAAGAAGTTCATTCATGTTTCTTCTTAGTATATAGTACTGATCCTCAGGCGTTAAACTACTGCGTTAACAAGAAAACAAAATGCTCAACCGAAATTCGCAAAACGCACCATTTCTTAATGGTTTGGCGTATGTATTGATGGAAATTAAGACATTTGAGGCATAACTCCTTCGCTGAATGAATGATTATATATTTATACAGCTAGGACTACACTTTTGCATACGTAGTTAAGACATATGAACTAGTCTTAAGACATATGAAGCATAGCTCCTTCACCAAATGATGAAGTACCCTTGGTTGAATGAATGATTATATATTTATATAGCTGATAGGACTTCACTTTTGAGTAGTTAATTAATGGCATCAATCTCATTAAAATGTTTCTTCTTATAAAAAGAAAGTTTTTTCTAATCTTAAAGGTTTGATCAGGAGTTAGTTTTTGAGAAAAAAAAGGAAAGAAAAAGTAAACTTATTTGATTACACATGTTTAAGAAATTTTATATGAGAATGGAAGAATTTATAAATATTTTAAAACCCTTTTAAGTTTCTTTAATTTGAAGAATTTTTTATTAACCTGGTTTCTTCCTTCCTTCTTTCTTCTCTTTTACTACTTTAAACTCTTTTTTTTCCCTTTCCTATCCTCCCACACTCTCAAATAAAACCTAAAAAGAGTCATTTAAATTTGTACATTTGCTTCTTCTTCTTCTTCTTTTTTTTTTTGCAGTATCAATCTTTTTTCTCTGTCATTCTTGGTTACATCTTATCTATCTCATGTTTTTCTCTTTTATATATTAATACAATCACTCATCTAAAACTTTATTGTAGGACTAAGTTGTAATGATTTGTTTAGATTAAAGTAAAGAAAATAAAGGGAGGAAAAAAATTGAAGAGAAAATGAAATGAGACAGATATATATATGCTTTGAGTTAATTTTTTTTCTTCATTTTTTTTCAACCAAACAAAAAAAAACATTGTTATCTTTGTTTTTCTTTTCTTTTTTTCTCATCCAAACATAATCTACCTGCTTTATGCACTAGAAATTTTTTTTATTTATTAACAAATAAAAATTATTAACCATTAAAATAATCAGTTAGTATAGTCTTGAAATTGTTAGTACAAATTTTAAAAGATTATATTAACAAATAATTCATTATACCAGCATTTAATGTATTGATAGTATATATTAATATTTTTACAAATGATATTGTAAAGTAGTAATGTTTATATTAGCAGTTTAATTTCTGTTAGAAGAAACGCATATTAACTAAGGCTAATCTAATATTAAATTTATAAAAAAAAAATTATAGTATGCACGCTTGTCAGTCAACTGGTCCTCAGCTGTAAATAAGATACTGGTTTAGCAGAGTACATACAATATCCTCAAAGGGGTAGGTCTTATATCCTTATTAAGAAAGCGGGGAACAGGTACGTATAATATGGATCCCAAAGCAAACAAAAACCACATGACTACAGTGTTTACATGTGAGCTAGCCAGTTCCTCAAACGTGCATGCTTTAAACCTTAATTTCATATTATTTATGACTATTTTCCATATTATTTTATTTGGTGCAAACCTTATTATTAGCTATATACTTATATGTCTCCTCATTTCAAAATTCAGAGAAAGCATTTGAATTGCACTAAAAGCAATTAGTAGCTAGCAAGAGGAAGAGAAAGAGGGAGACCAGTTTGAGGAGTGTTGTTTGTGGCAGCAGGGTGGCAAATAGAGTGAAGTTGAGTTTCCATGTGGTTGAGGAACGCAGTTGCCTCGTCATAGGGCCTTGAAAGATCCCATTTGTACTTCACCAATAAATCACAGTACATTTCCTTCGATGCAACAACCAAAATATAAGCTGAGATGTAAATAAATATACTAATAATCATCATCCACTTGATACTTAACTCTCTTCAATCATATTACATTATACCATATATTTATATTTCTGGTTTGTAAACACTTCAACAGTATCAATATTCATTTAACATTTTTTTATCTCTTTATATACGATATTATATCACTTATGATACCTATTATTTATCTCACTCCTCTTCCTCTCTCCGGATGTTGTGTCTATCAAATATCTTTCATTAAGAAATGCGTAAGAACTTAGGGTTTATGATCTTGAAGAGCAAATTAATAATAATTTACGAAGGAAGAAAGAGATATACACCATGAAAAGGTCCAGATCGGGATCAGCACCTGAGAAGCCAGATATGTGACATACACCACTGTTCTCTCCTCTCATTCCATCAAAAACTTGCGCCATCTCTGGCGGCGCTCCCACCTGAAAATTGAAACATGCCAAATTAACTTCAATCCACGATTAATAATTTCTTAAATAAAACAAATTGAAAGAGAGGTTGGTAATTTGGTCCCACCCTGAATCTATATATGTTATATAGTTGAATATTGGAAACTTAATTATCGTTCAAAATTCTAATACAAGTCCACACTTTAGGTTGGGTTCCTCCATGTCATATCATGTAAATTAATTAATTAACGACAATAAACTTAAAAAAGTTCGAAGCAAACTAAATCAAGCAAGCTAACTAGGAAAAGCGTGAGACAGAAAGAAAAAGTTTTGGATGAGAGAACGTGGAAAAAAGTCTGAAAACACAAGGAAAAATGATGAGGGTCTCTTGTGTGTTGTCTTCCCTTTTTAGCCTGTGGAAAACAAGTAACACGATCGTAGATCACAAAACAAAGAGGAATGTAAGAAATAAGACATAAGAAGGGAGAAAACAGAAAATTAAGGTTGTATGGTTGAAGACAAAACCCATGTATATGTCATCATTACCTTGTGGCAATCGATGTGGGCTTGGAGGAGCTGAGGAAAAAGAGGATGAGAAGCAACTTTAGTTTGAAGTGCTTTTATAGAATCATCCGATGAAGAAGAACTGGACTGAACGAATGTCCTAATGGATGAAATTGCGTTCAGTGCCGGTGGAGGCTGTGAAGGTGGAGGAGCCATGGATGGCTGCTCTGAGTAACTAGATGAAAAGTGAAAATTGTACAGGTTCTCCATCTCTTTATTTTCAGAGCAAAATTATGTTAATAAAGGATTAGATAGTGTCATGGCCATAGTTCACATCTACACACTGAGGGGAGTGAGTTAAGTGTTATTTTAAATAAGTAAATGTTAACTATCATATTAGACTTTCTTTAAAAGTTTAAAACAAAATAAAATAAAATCGTTTAAAATGTAAAAGAAGAAAAGAAAATGAAGGAGAAAAAGAATTTAATACAAGATCCTCAAATTTCAAAAATTTTAAAATATGAGATTAGAAGATTTTTAAAATATTTATAAACTAATCGTATTCTAATCTAATATCAACTAAGTTTTTTCCTCCTCTTATTTTCTTAAAAAAATAACTTTAAAATAAAGCTTCTGGAGACTGATCAAAAATCAAAAAGAAAAAAATGATACAAAAATATTAATATTTTTTTATAATAATATATTTTAACAACTTTTAATAAAACTTTAAAATTAATTTTAATACATTCTCAATCAATAAAAAATACATTATAAACATAACTTTTAAATTAATGTTATAAAAATCAATAATAATCAGAGATGCATTAATCTATAATTCGACAGTAGTATAAATTTTTTTACATTGCAAATATATTTTACATTAATTCTAAAAAAAATTATTTTTAATTTCAAAACTATTAAATGTGATAAATATATTTTTATTAAAAAATTATTATTTTAAATACTTAAAATTAATCTTAAAATTGAATATTTTAATAAAAAATATAAAAAGTATTTTAAAACTTATTGATGTATGTATTATGATTTTCACATTTTTTTTTATATCTACGGACAATATGTTAACTAGTAACTAAGTGTATTATTAAAGTGTAACATGACATGAAACTTTTACGTGGAAAAAATTAAGTAGCACTTGGATTTTATTAATAAATTCATTTATCTAATAAAATATTTAATGATTCTTAGGGGGTGGAATCGATCATGGATATATATATATATGAAAGGCGTGACAGTGATACAAGAGTTCCAAAGCAAAGCTTCTGCTGTCTGCAAAAACCAAAAAGATAAAAAGAAAAACAAAACAAAATTTTATGATATCGAACATCAATCTGCAGAGGATTTCACCATTAGATCTCTGTAATTTATTTTTAAAAAAACTATAAACACGATTCATAAACCTTGCAATTAAAACTGTAAAATGAATTAAAGGCTAAAAAGTTTATGAGACCAAAAAGTTCTATAAAAAATTTCATAAAATTAAAAAAACTCACATAATTTAATATGTTAAAGATTGATTCCTAAATGCATAAATCAACTATCTTAAAAATTTATTATAATTTATTGAAAAAATTTATTTTATATAATATTTTTTATTAAAACTTATAGACAAATAAAATTACTTTAAAACAAATAAAAAATAATAAAATTTATATAATATTAAATATTTAGAATAATTTATTATTATTAAATAATATTAAATAAAATAAAATAAAATATTTTTTTATTTATATAATTTTATAAATGATTTTATAGTACATTATTTAATAATATTATTCGAATATAACTATTAAATTTTTTACGTTTTGATATTTTATATTATTATTTATATTTATTTTTATAAAATTATTTTAGGAACATTTTTAATAAATATTTTAAAAGTTACAATAGATACATAAAACTAAAAAAAAATAGCACGAGTTAAATTTGTTAAATTATCTATTATTAAAATATTTAAAATAATTTATTTAAATAAAATTTAATCTACTAAAAAAAACTTAACATAACTGCATTATCATAAAAAATCATACTTAATATTTTAAAAATCATAAACAAAAAAGTAATTTATAAATTTAACAAAAATTTAATAAATAATTAAAAATTTAAATTTTAACTCATTTTAATTTAATAAAATTTATTTTTAAAGTGAAGTAAGTTAATTTGATAAAAATTTTAATTCTAGAAAATATATTTTTATTTAAAATATTAATTTTTAAATAAATTAATTTAATAAAAATTTATAAATAAATACATATATTTTTATTAGAAAAATAAAATGATAGTTATTAATTATGCTTTAAGAAAAGTGGGTTAACCCATAACTCACTTTTTTTTAATATATTAGAGCTTAGTCATATTTAGTAAATTAAGTAAAGTGCACTGTGGACTATAGATGATATTGAGAGCTATACTAGTAAGTTGTAACCCGTGAATCTTGATTTCATGAACTGCACCGCGCCTGCAGTTGCCATGCAGAGGATCTGCTCCCCTCGAAATCTCACTTGATTGGCGGGTGAGGATTGTTATACCACAAATTTAATAAGGTCCTATTGATTTGTAAAAAACCACAAAAATTATTTATTTTTGTTAGATTTTAGAAGTTTCTATTTAATACGATAAACAATTAAGAAATTTGTTGATTATTTAATTAATTAAGGGATGATTTTTTGTCTTACGCGTGATATTATAATAAAAATAGATGTATCTAGTTCACATATTTATTACTTTAACTTTTCTCACATATTAAAATTATATTACTATCTTTAATGTATTATTAAGTTTATTATCATCATCACAATTATTATTGTATAAGCTTTAGCATCATTATTGTAACTACGCATGATATTATTGTCAGTGTTTCATAATTACTGTTGTCATTTCACTGCCACCACTCTTCGAATATAATTTTATTGTTTATATCAAATAGTAAAAGAGGTAGTGCAGAAATTTTTGTAAGTTTTATTTATTGTTTGTATGTAAAATATATAAAAATTGTTTTCTTTAAAAAGAATTTCATCAACTAAAAAATTATATCAATACAACTCAAACTCAAATTAACAAGGAAAAGTAAATAAAAATAACAGGAATAAGTAATATAATAACTGGGTAATTTAAAATCTAATGGCCTCTTTTTATTCATGAACTAAGATCACACATCTCGCATTCGAAAATAGATATTAAAAATAAATTACTGTCAAGTATCAAATACTAATAAATAAAGTATCATAAATTATATAATGTTTAAAGTGATATTATAAATTTAAAATTAATGAGTAAACTAAAATTGAATTAAATCTTATATTTTTTTAAAAAAATATAACAATAAATGGGATTTAGCTGGGGCAAACAATAACTCCATTGAATCAAAGATTAATTCATAGAGATGCCATATTTCACTAGCTAATCATTAGTGAAATCCACTATATACAGTAGCATTTGGATGAAATGCGTTAACACTATTCTAAATAAATGATAAACCAAGTTTAGAATTAGATTACAAATAATATTTTTAAGATCAATCATCTAAGCTAGATTAAAACCTTGTAAAATAGCAACTAATTCACCATTCATAATGATGGAAATGCCATAAGACCTTAAGAAGCCCACAATATATTCTTTAGTAGAATTTTCAATCATGCCTCTGTACCCAACACAACCCAAATTTTAAATAGGATTACCATCTTTGTTTAATTTAAATAAACTTGGTTCTTCTAGTGGTTTTCAAGGAAAAAAATTGCTATACTTTTTGGACTCTCGATGTGACAAAAGCTTTCTGAATATCTTGGTGAAGAGTATTGATATGATTCAAAACTTACCCCTCTTGCCAAACAATAATATTAAAGATACTTTTGTACTCTTTGTTTTTCAAATGATCTAAGTAAGTAAGGCAAAAAAAAATTGTATTACAAGAACAAATAATACAAAGTTTGATATATAAAAGCATAAGAATATAAGAAAGAGTGTCATTAGAAAAATAAAGTAGCTCTCAGATCACAGATGCTCTAGATAAGGTACACGCTGTTGGCGGTAAAAAAGTTCGCTTTTTCCTTTTTTCACTAGAGCCAAATCAGATTGCATTCCTAGCTTTATCAAGTCAAGTCTTGTATTGACGTCATCTTTCTTTTTTCTCATGATGTTTAATAACGTACCAATCACACTTTCACAAATATTTTTTTCAACATGCATAACATCAATAAAGTGTTTTATGTATAAAGATTTTCAATAGGGTAACTGAAAGAAAATTGACATCTTCTTTTAACTTGCCGTTGAAATTTATTTGGCAAAAAGTTTTCTAAATGTTGTTCTTACATACTTAACCTCATCAAAGATTTCTTCTCCATTTTTCAAGTAAGGACATTGTCGTTCTTCACAACTTCTATTAAAAGTTTTTTTCATTTTTCTGAAAGGATGATTTCGTGCCAACCACCTACGATGCCCCATAAAACATTCTTGTAATAGTGCTTTAGTCTTATATAATCTGTTTTTTTCTCACATATTGAACATGCACATTGACTTTTTATGCTGTAACCATAAAGATTTTCATATGCAAGAAAATCATTAATTGTTCCATACAACACTGCTTTGATCGTGAAAGATTCATATCTAAACTTGTCATATACTTCTATGCCAATATCCCACAACAACTTCAAATCTTCAATTAAAGGAGACAAGTACACATCAATGTCATTTTCAGGTTGTTTAGGACCAAAGATTAACAAAGAAAGCATCATATATTTCTTCTTCATGCAAAGCAATAGAGGTAAGTTATACATTATTAAAATATGGGCCATGTACTATGGGTGCTACTTTGCATGCCATGGGGATTCATTCTATCGGTTGCTAACACAACATATATTCCTTAGTTTAGTTGCAAACTCTTCATATTTGTCATCAAATTTTTTACACTGCAGAGAATCTATTGGATGTCTAAGCTTTCCATCACTAATTCTACCTTTAGCATGTTAAGTCATCTGCTTTGCATTTTCTGCACTGCGAAATAGACGTCTTAATCTGGGTATTACTAAAAAATACCACACGACCTTCGCAAGTATTGATTCTTTCTTTAGGTATCTAATAAATTACACTTTGGATATTGACTTAGTGATGCATATTCATTTTAGAACAAAATGCAATTATTAGAACAAACATGTATCTTTTCATGATCAATCCAATGGAAGCAAATACTTGTTTAGCATCATATGTTCTCTTTGGTAGCACATTATTCTCTGGTAGCATCTCATGTAATAAACTTA